ATATATATATATATATATACATCATATATATATATATACATCGCAGACCAAACACGGCAGCAGTATTTGGGCTCCTTCCTGAGTTTGGGCTGATGTACACAAACAAACTAATAAGGTCGTTGATACTGATTCTCCTGCTGTGAGTGTATGTGGATGCGTACAAGAAGCGATTAACATCTGGTTAGTATTAATGTTAAAATGCAATTACTTCGTGTGTTGTGCGCAGATGACGTACAAGTATCTACACGCCAGTACTTTTAGCAAGCATTCATGCATTGAATGTACTTTTTCTGTGCTTGCTCTTTGTTTTGTCCTGCTGCTCTGTGTCTATCGTTGTACGCAGGGTGGTGTTTGTGCCGGATTCTTCAGTTAAGATCTGTTGGTGTTTGTATTGTTCGTTATATCGATTATATTTCCTTCTGTTTATTTCTGCTTGCTTCAGTTGATATACAGCAACGCGTCTTTGTTTTCGCGCGTCATAACAAACGAATCGCGGGCTAAAGTATCGACCTTTGAGTTGGAAGTTTGTGTCAGCATCTCGACGCCTCTCTTCCTTATAAAGGCGTTGGAACATGAAATGAAGAAATATGTACAAAACAGGCAAATGGACTTTGTCAAGGACTCTCTCCGTCTTCTCGTCTACGATGTGCAGGCTGGCCACTGTATCAAGGCAGGGCACGAACACAGCTAGCCAGCTAGAACCAGCCAGCTAGCTAGTCACCTGCCTCCAGCTACACTCAACTAGATAGGCTGCGAGCTAGCAACCCTGGCAGCCAGATGGTTGGGTGGAAGATGAGACATTTGGGTAGACGGCAGCTAATGCAGATGGCCAGGTAGTCAAAGAGATAGAAACGAAAGGAAAGATACGTAGATAGGCTGACAGCTAACTCGCCCAATTGATGCATGGCCAGCTCCCAAATAAGATAGGCTAGGAGAGAGGTTGGTGAATCGATAGACTTTTGGTGGAGAGGGTGGGCATAAATAGAATACTGTGGGCCTTAGCAAGCTAGCCATCTAACGCTGGGTCTCCGCTGGCTGGCTAGCAAGCGACGGCCTGAAAATAGGGAGTAGCCCGCAGCTTGACAGTTGAGCGGCGCGGTGTGCTTGGAGCTGTATGCGTGCAGCTGACCCTCTGGCTGACGTGTGTTGAGGGGTGGGGAAACTGGGGGAAAGTCTTGAAGGTGAGGTCTGAAGTGTACCTACACCTCGTGAAGGCGTTAAATGAGCTTGGCATATCGTTTCATTTGCCGCAGCAACCTGTCACGATCCTAAACAGGCAAGTGCTAACTTGCAATAACAGCAAAGACTACCACAAACATCAGCCGCACTTGTAGCCGTTGCTCCTGCAGCTGCAACAACTGCGGCAGCTGCTGCTGCGGGTGCTGCTGCTCGAGGTCCTTCGTTGCAGAGCGGCGCCAAACGGCGTCCGCCTGCTTGACTCCTCATGGCACTACTGCCTTAAACGAATCGTGCCTGCGTGTGTGTGCATCTGTTTGTTTCCTTGTGTTGTGTTGGTGTATTATGTGCACAATTTAAAGACAGTGCATTCAGTTAGTGCATCTACAAGTTGTAGAGATGCACATTCCGTCGACTGCCTGGTTGTCGGCAAGGCACGCTTGCTGGTGGCCAACAACTGTTGTGATAAGATGGTGGCTGAGTATTTAATTGTTCCTAAATTAGTTGTGTTCGTTACTTCCTTTCTCCCTCTGGAGTCATCTAACGAATTCGGGTTGCAAGGGATGCTAGCAACATAAAAGTCATCACAGCGCTGCAGTAGGAAATGGCTGCAAGAAACAAGAAGCAGCAAGCAGCTAAGGGGTTGAGCGGCCGAAGCCTAAGCCCTATGCTCCAGAAAAGAGTCACTTTCAGCCTGCAGGCTGAATTGGGCCGGCGCTCGAACGACTTGGAAAACCCCAATGCATTCGGTCGATAATGAATTAAACGCGAATCGAGCGTGGTGTTGCATTTGTAGAGACGAATTGCTTGAGTATGTGAACTAACTACCATCTTGCGCATGGAGTTCTTAAAGGGCCACTCCTCTATCCTTTGTATATTCGTACTGCGCTTTTGGTTTCCTGCTTTCTTATCGTCTGTTCGTTTTTGTGTGGGCCTTGCCACAACATGTAATGGAAATGAGAGAGAAAATACCACCCGACTACTGGAAGTTGCGCTGGCGTGGACTTGCACTTAAATACACTTCAGTTTGTATTTGTATTAAAGTGAAGCCCAACAGAACAAACAAAGGAAGAGAGCGGATGATTACAATTAAACAACAACCCGAATGAAAACAACCGTAGGCCAGCAGCCTAGCACCAGAAGGCGGGGCCTGGTGTCAATTAATGCATTTCCCCTTCTCTGCATTTAAAGATCAGTCTCACTGCCCGTTCTTAATTAATTTACTTCCACTTGCTAGCAATGCATTTGGAATGCAATTGAAAGGAGGACAGCATAAGCCATCTATGCTCAGAAGCCCCAAGCGGCTCAGGCTTTGTTAGGGGCGCCGATGATGTCAACAAAAGCCTTCTTAAGAGAAGCACCTCCTACAAGGAAGCCATCAACATCTTCGCATTTAATCAGAGAAACACAATTGGAGTCACTCACAGAACCGCCGTATACTATACGCAACGCTGAAGCCACCTGGGATCCCACACGCTCTGAAATGAACTTGCGCAGTTCCTGCGGAGAGACAAACAATTCTAAACAACAGCCTTAAATAACCACGATTCTGACGACAATTTCAACACACCAGCTTCAAGCAAGACAACCCTTGCGCTTCAACAGAAGCAACACCAAACGCAACATCCACACCAGCACCAGAAACACCACAAACAACCAGGAGCACCTCAAAGTCAACAGGAACAAAGGCAGCACCGAAAGCAACAACGCCCACAGCATCAACTGAAGGAGCAGCACTATCAGAAAACGCAACAGCAAAAGGACCATCAGTAGCAACAAAAGGAGCGCCACAAAAAGGCAGTAGCAGCGACAGCAGTTGCAGCAGCAGGAGTAGCAGGCTTACGTGATGAACCTCCTGTGCCTGTTCAGGAGTGGCGACTTTGCCTGTGCCGATAGCCCAGACGGGTTCGTACGCGATGACAACCCTATTCCAATTTGTTACTTTGGGGATAACGGCCTCCAGCTGAGTCCTGCACACTTCCATCGTTTTGTTGCTTTCGCGCTCCTCGAGTTTCTCCCCAATGCAGATCTGCACAACAGAAAACAAACACGAAGCGTAATGGGTAGACATTATAACCTTACACGTCATTCGCCAGTAGATTCAAGCAACAGGAAGAGTTAAAATAAAGCAAACAGCACGAAGGCAAAATAGTGCACAGAAGGAATCTATGCACACAAGACCGCTTCCTATCAATATCGGCATCCCTTTTTTCACACAGCAAAATAGAAAGAGACAAAGACGACGCAAACGAAAAAAAAAGACGTTCACGCTCGGGAAGAGGTAGTATCGCTTCCCCATCTATCCCAGTCTCTCACTCACAACCCCTTCATAGCTTTTTCACCGGTAGACTAAGCCCCTTATCTACGTAAAAGCATTACGTACATGTAAGACGCGCATCCATCCCTCTACATACATGCACACAGGCGTAATAAACAAGGCAGGAAAAAACAAAAACTCCAAACACCAAACCCTAAATTAGTAAATACGAAGGGCTACATATGTGCGCCTTCCGACCAATCTACCCACCAAGCGGTAATAGCCACGCAAATCCACTGCAAGCGTGCACGCAAAAAACACCCATTGGTGTATATATATATATATATACTTGAGGGCTATATTACACAACACTGCACAACCCTCGGATAGGGCACACCAGAAGAAGGATGCACTTGCTGCTGTCTTACCACAACATTGAGTCCTTCCTGCTTCATCGCCATTGCGACTTTCTCTGCTACGACGCTATCCGTCTCGCCGTAGTACTGCCGCCTCTCGCTGTGGCCAACCATCACCCACTTCAGACCCATGTCAGCCACCATCTCCGCCCTGCACAGAGATGCTGGGAAGACAGTTTCTCAATTAACAAACCAAACATCTAAACGAATAACGAGCTCAACTTCGTTCAAAGCACAAGAAACTCATTTAGACATCAAACACTAACGCAACAACCTGCATACACATGCCCAGGCCATACAGGTGCGTTCCATACCAAAGCATACATCCGGGAGCAAGAGCAAATAAACGAACAATTTCAACAGCAGAGTAATGACACCAATTATGCAAATACGTGCAAAAAACCAACGTGCATCGACCGCAGACGCAGGAAACAAATATGTGGAAATAAACCAGCATGGAGGCAAACAAAAACCAAATGAACATATAAAAGTCAACAACACGACGAAGTGATTCGGCAAGCTACAGAGTTTCTACTGCCAGATGCGATACAAATGGCAAGCAAGTAGGGAGAAACAAGTAGGGCTGACAAATAAACCAGAGAAATAAAATGAACAAATATAACAAACAAAATTAAGAAAATACAATGGACAAACACGAACACACATACGACGCACTAGTGTCAGAAGCACAAGCATCGAAAAAGCAAACGACAAATAAGTACAAACTTGCGATCCTTAGCCGATAAATGAAGCAGCAAATGCCCTTGATGAATGCATTGAGCAAACAGAGACGCAACTACAACGAAAAAGAAACAGCAATGAAACATAGGAGCTTCAGCTGACAAGAGCAGTGGGACTGCATGTGCAGCAAGAAGACAGAGAACATAGGAGCAACAACACGGAAGAGGCAAAATAGGAGAACGAAGGAAATCATGTGTGTCTAAAGATAAACGCATGACAGACAGAGAAGAGAAGAAAAAAAGACACCACAGGCAAGGCAAGAAGGTTTAGGAAACACGTATGTACTTTCTCACGTGATTTCGCCTGTAAAGGCTCCCGGTCCGGTCTTAGAGATGTTTTGGCAGCCGACTTGAAACTCATTTTTCAGTTTTTCCTTGGCTAGCGCAATATGCAGCGCCGTGGGGAAGAGGACGACCTCTGAATGCATTCAGGAGCAGCAAAAAACGAAAATGAGGAAAAAATACAGGCGAAGAACGCTTTACGAGAAGGCACAGTAATGAATGTAAGGACTGCGAAAATCTCAAGAGAACAGCCAACAAGAACTAGTGCAAGGGAGGTGCGGAAGGTTCTTTCCCTCAAGCGCAACCCGAAAACACAAAACGGAGTAATAAAAGGAAGTAGTTATTCCATGTAGAGCACCAAGTAAATTTAACCATTTTATTCACCCACCGACACATTTATCTGCTGTTTTCTTGTATTTGTTAAACCAGCGACACAGCCGATGTCGCCAACAGCCAGACTGGGGGTTCCGGCCTTCTGCCCACAGCCACGGCCAGAGGCAGTCATGCAGCTCATAAGCCACTAAAACTTTAAAAAGTGTATCAAGTAGAGTACAAGTGATATAAAAAGCGAAAAAAGAACGAAGCCATGACAAAATAACGCGCGCGCATGCCCTTGTGGACTGTGTACATCACAGCAGCAACACGCACGAATCACCAGCTCGACAGAATGTATTTCTAAACGCCATACACCCCAAATATCTACTTTGGCTGAGCCTTCCACCGGAGTTCCTCAAGTGCCTCGAAACCGAAATTGCAGCAGGTGCGACTTCGGCGTTCTACGAACGAGGACGATTTGACTGAAAGGTTCATATTGGAAGCGAGCGGCAGAATGAAGGCACGAAAACTCTAATCCAGCCCTAATGCCTTGCAAAGGCCCTATTTTCCGTCGTCATGAGCTGCTGCAGTTCCCGCTGCTGCAGCTAATTCAGCAGCTGGAGGCGCAATACCATCCACCGCGGGTGGCTGTGTGTGGCTGGGAGTGTTCTGGCTGTATGTGTGCTAATCCTGCTGCTTACGTATTTGACTTGCATTGAAGTTTGCCTGGTTAAGTTCCTTTGAAAGCTCGGTTATGGAAGCAACGGTGCCGTTTGACTTCCAGTTGCCGCCGATCCACGGAGTTCGCGCCATTCTGGGAGCGGTGAGTCTGGAAAGCGAGGCGTACACGGGGGGAAAACGAAAAAAAAGACAATAAAAGAGCAGTTTACACTTAAATGCCTTCTATATTTGAATGAACTTCGCCCCATCACTTTGTATTCAGCCCCGAACGCGCCCCAGGTGCGAACGGGATTCCTTCCTCCCGGTCCCCTCACCGTGGCTGCATGCGTCGGCTATTTGATCCTTCTTTTTCGTTCCATTTCTGCGTGAAGACCAAGTCATATTGAACAACTCGCGAAATAAGTGCAGTTTAAACTTGCTTTCCCAAGACGGGTTATTGCTTCAACGGAATACCAGCCAAAACGAGCACCTCCAAGAGCGGCGCTCCAGTGCATTTTTCAGTGTTGCTGCTGTCCCTCATTTGCACTGTAACGACGCGCCCTCCTTCTTTAATTGCACACTTCACCTTTTAAAAAGATGCAATTTCGTGTAAATAGTACTTTACATTGTATATATTTATATTCCATGGACGTGTTGCAACCCTTGTAGAGCTGCAAACAACTGCTGGTAGCTCAGCCGGCAGTTAGCGCAGCACGTGATCGTCCTACGCATAATGAACAACATTCATCATGCTTAGGACGGTAACGTGCTGTGGCAAGTATAATAAAATAAATAAAGTAGTTTAGTTGAATGCTTCAAACGAAAACGAATAGGCAATTTCTTGCCATCCCCGACTGCTCTGCCATTATTGCCGGTGTTGCTGCAACTTCTCTACGTTATGAATTCGCTTATCCAAGATTATACTGTGTGCCTCTTCTTTTCTCTTCCTGGATAATGTCCAAATTCTGTCTAGACTGGCCACTGAAGCATATTGGGGCGGCACGACTGGATTTGGGTTATATGCATTGTAGACAGACAATTCTGGGAAAAGAATTGGCACCCATTTCGGAATGTTGATTGCGAATATAGTACATAAATATGCATTATATGCCTTAAATTTGGAAAAATGTGCGAATGTATGTTTTGGGGCCTTTCTGAAGTTGGTACAAGCATTTCTACTTGCGGCAAAGCTGGCTACTGAACGCCAAGCGAGTCCCGCATAATATTGTAATGTACGGTGAAATATTATATAGTATTCTAGTACTTCCGCAGGAGTTCCAGCTTGGTTTAGTGCACCTGATCACATACTCCGTCGCTTTTACGTATCCTCGCCCGCAGGATGCAGTGCTGCTGCGCCAAAGAAACCTGGAGACTAGAGAGGAAGCCATCCGATGCTTTTCGGGTATTGCATTATAAAAAGCATTTGACGCTATTGCACCACAAGATTTGCATACTTCCTACCATTAAATTACACACAAGCTTTTGACTGTGTTGCAGCTCACGACGTTGGATTATTACGTGTTCACTATCACAAGTCGTGGACACTATTGGTGCTCACAACAAGCCTCTGCTACGATCGAGAATTCCCGCCCCAAATTAAAATGATAAACACTGAAATGATGCAACCGTTTCTACACACATAGGTACATGCGCGCCTGTACAATATGTATATATATATATATATGCAACAGGATGCACCTGCTGCCGAGATGTTTGAAATGCAACAT